CATAATTATGTACATTGATATTCGCCTTATACGCCAATACCCGTAGAAACTTATGTTGGACAGACTCAATCCTTCTTATATGGACTTCGTAGTGTGGGTTCCAAATAATAGACGTGAATGAGAGCTTACTATGTACAAACGCATAATATAGTGATACCAGGCTAGTATGCAGAGCGTCTCCTAATAAAGCCACGCATCTTATTGGTTTTGTTAATGGTTTAATCTATGTGGTTATTAAAGCTCCATTTCGTATCAAGTGTAACACCCATGTCCCGTATAGTGCTCACCGAATTAATATTAGCATTATCTATCTGATATACTGTAATACGTTCCTTTTTTGGTAAAGATAATTGAGAAACACTTATTAATATTGAGTGGCATATCATTTCTCTGACCATAATCATTGTGTCTGATGATATCGCATTGTATTTTGGTGCAGTCCTGAAGGATTTCAACTTTGGTTAAAAAATTGTCATCCTTGACAAATCTTTTGACGTGTCTCGGCGTGTTTCCTCTTAATCAGTGTTTTTTGCTCTGGCTATAACGCGATGAGGCGCCACCTGCAGGTGATACGGGTAGCTGAGAATCTCCTGCGGATAGACTCGTCTTCTAACGGGTGATTTTTTAAGAGGTATAGGATATGATATAAAAAAAAACAAAAAAATTGAAAAAACGATTATATCTTTATTTGAGTCGATAGAACGGTCGATTTAATTTAATGTTTAAAGATTATTTCATGTAAATGTTGGCCGCGGCTCCGCTTTAGATGGCCCATGCGCAAGGTCCAATTTTGGCACACTCTCTCCGACATATCGGCCGGTATCTCACGAATAAATGCTTCAATATTGGCTTCCAGTGCGTCAATCGTTGCTGGTTTATACCTGTAGACATTAGCCTTAACATGGCCCCACAAGAAATAGTCCAACGGCGTCAAATCACACGATCTAGGCGGCCAATTGACGGGCCCCAAACGTGAGATAAACTGTTCACCGAACTGAGCTCTCAATAGGGCCATTGTTTCGTGTGCGGTATGGCATGTGGCACCGTCTTGTTGAAACTACATGTCAGCCAAGTCCAGCTCTTCCATTTGTAATCATCACACGGTAGCGCTCGCCATTCACAGTTACGTTCCGGCCATTTTCGTCTTTGAAGAAGTACGGCCCGATGATGCCACCGGCCCATAATCCACACCAAACAGTGATTATTTCGGGATGCATTGGTAGCTCTTGCAATGCTTCTGGCTGGTCTTCACTCCAGATGCGGCAATTTTGCTTGTTAGCATACCCATTCAACCAGAAATGAGCTTCGTCGCTGAACACAATTTTTCGATAAAAATGTGGATCTTCCTCCAACAACTTTGCGAGCGCCCATTCACCAAATTGGAAACGTTGTGGGAGGTCGTGTGGCTTCAATTCTTTCACCAGCTGTATCTTATAAGGTTTTACACCCAAATCCTGTCGCAAAATTTTCCACGTAGTGGAGTAACAGAGGCCCAATTGCTGCGAACGGCGGCGAATCGACATTTCACGGTCATCACTAACACTGGCGGATACAGCCGCAATATTTTCTTCAGTCCTCACTCTACGTCTGCGTGTTGGTGGTTTAATGTTCAATAATGTAAACTGGGTTCGAAATTTAGTCACAAGCTTCCGAACAGCTCCCTCAGTAGGCCGACCAAATTGCCCATAAATTGGAAGCAGTGCTCGATGCACTCTCTTAACCGAGCATGAATTTTGATAGTAAAATTCAATAATTTGCAAGCGTTGTTCGTTCGTAAGTCGATTCATGGTTAAATTATAGACCAAACTGAACAAGTTTGACAATGACACAAGACACGATTCACGCGTCATCTGTCAAAAACAGTGTTGCCAAAAACATACTAGGCAGACTATACTGGGATGCAAGACGTCGGATCCCTAGAATGTTAAGGAGCTGGAACTTATGGCCATACTCAACTTCGCTAGAAGAGCGTAGCTTAGGGAATATAGTGATGCATAATTTAATTTAATTCATTCTTACGTGTATTTGAGAGATGGTCGACGGGATAGCACTTCCTTGAAGAACAAGATTGCTTTAAACTTGCCTTAAACTTGAACTGAGATGGACAAGGATAAAGTCGCTTAGAATTCTTCATGATCATGAAACATCAAAAGTATCTGGACTGGAAGATAACCAGATATTTTCACAATTGTATCTAACTTCACGTATTTGTGTAAAATAAAAGCTCGTTCTTGTTGTTATCCTTGTTTCGGTAAACCAAACGATGCCGTTATCGAAGGACTAATCTTGCTGTGCTGCGTTTCAGGGAATAAAAATACAACATCAATTGTCTTACCTTGCAGTCTTTGCAGTTGTGCACGATGGAGTAATTCTGCGAGCAGTCGTATCTGGTGAGCAGGTCCGCGTGCGAGCAGGAGATCCTGCTGGCGAGCTCGTCGAGCAGCAGCAGCTCGTGCAGCAGGTGTTTGCATGTGGAGGCGGTGGTTGCGCCTGCGCCTGCGCGGAACGCTTCTTCGGGCAGCGCCCACGCGACCGAGTGCTCGCAGCAGTGGCGCAGCCGCAACGACTGCAGCGCAGAGTGACGCCGATCCGAAGGCATCGAGCACACCTAAGAATTAAAATCGTTAAACATGGTATTTTTTAACTTTATACAGGATGTTTCAGTTTATTGTTGCATAACTTTAAGATTCGATAGAACTTTTAAAATTAATGCATAATGTCTATATAAACATGGGTCGAACAATGCGTGGCTTCCGAAATACAGGGTGTTTAAATTTACTTTCTAAAATAGTTTTTTTTAAATATTTCGAACAATGTTTGATGTATAACAGTGAAAATTGGTATACAAGGGTTTTTTGGTACGACAAAATGAACCATGGGCATAGTTTTACTGTAGCCGCTAGAGGGCGCTCTCTACTGTACCTGTAGTGTATTAAAATGACCGAAAAATTTTTCTTAGTGCAATTTTTTGCTTTTTGAATAAAAAAACTGATTCTTCGCACTTTTCAACATAAAAAAGTTCTTTTGTGAATTTTCGTTATAGTTAGCCATTTTTGAGATATTTCGATTTTTAAGGTTCGACTCATTTTTAATTATTTATGGGAAAATAATATTTTTTTACATTTTCGATTTGGGCATTACAAGTAATTAAGATGATCGTTTAGATTGTGTTTTTAAACACAGCAATAATTCCTAACTCCAAATAAACACAAAAAAACAGAATATTAATTTGTTTAATTTTCCAATATTATTTTTAACAAATTAAATTAATTATTTACAACTAAAATGCTATTGGATAGTTAGGACAAACATACAAAATCTAAAGTAGTTGCTCGAAATGTAAACCCAATTGTTCAATACACAATTCACATCTACGAATGATCGAACGTGGTGATTCTGTCTATTAGCATATCTCTTGTGGTTACGGGAGTCTGGTACACTTTTTCTTTTAGAAATCCCCACACAAAGAAATGTAATGGATTTAGGTCAGGGGATCGTGGAGGCCAGGCGACTGGTTCTCCAAGGCCGATCCATCTTTCTGGACAATTTTCGTCCAGCCAGTTTCTAACTATTCTCGAATAATGAGCTGGACAACCATCAAGCTGGAACCAGGCCAATCTTCTTAAATCTAACATACATGTTCAGCCTTTAAAAATTCCAAGAAGGTCGCAACATTTAACCTTGCAGGCAAAAGGTAGGGTCCAAATAGTCGATTACGGTAGATACCAATCCACACGTTCACACTAAATTCATGCTGAAAATTTCTTTCCCGAACTGCATGCGGATTTTCATGCGACCAAATATGTTGATTATGAAAATTTACCACTCCACGTCTAGTGAAGCATGACTCATCGGTCCATAAAACGTTACTTAAAAACTCCCTATTATTATCAGTTCTATCAAGAATCCACAGACAAAATGTGATTCTTCGTTCTCCGTCCCCTGACTGTAGTCCTTGCATAGGTTGCAAATGGCAAGGACGTCTATGGTCATTTCTAAGAACACGGTGAACATGGCTTGCTGAAATTCCCAAGGCACCAGAAACTCTCCTAATACTTGTGGTCGGATCTCTATCAAACTCAGGCAGAATCATACGGGTAAATCTGCGCTGACGAACATTTATGTTTTGATCCCTTTAGAGATTTCCAAAACCATTTTCAATTATTTGGCGATGCACTCTTACAAATACTGAGCGAGTTGGATGTCGTCTGTTTGGAAATCTTCGTGCGTATTCTCTGGCTGCGTCTGCTGCGTTTCCATTTACAAAGCCATACACAAAATGAATATTCGCTAACTCTTGATTGGAGAATAAAAATGGCATTTTTATAAAACTTACAAAAAAAACAGGTAAAAGAAACTAAATTTCGTGCATTCACAATTGCAAAAAAACGTTTCAGGTTTCAACAGACAACAAAACTAACTGTCAACTAATTGACGCTTAACCTTATTCTGCTTTCAATTTCAAAAATATTTGCAGGCACAGCCTACTTCTAAAAATTATCGAGATACTGACTTTTTAACGTTATTTTATCATAAATAATTAAAAATTCATCGAACCTTAAAAATCGAAATATCTAAAAAACGGCTAACTATAACGAAAATTCACAAGAGAGCTTTTTTATGTTGAAAAGTGCGAAGAAGTTTTTTTATTCAAAAAGCAATAAATTGCACTAAGAAAAAATTTTCGGTCATTTTAATACACTACAGGTACAGTAGAGAGCGCCCTCTAGCGGCTACAGTAAAACTATGCCCATGGTTTGTTTTGTCGTACCAAAAAACCCTTCTACACCAATTTTCACTGTTATACATCAAGTATTGTTCGAAATATTTAAAAAAAAACTATTTTAGAAAGTAAATTTAAACACCCTGTATTTCGGAAGCCACGCATTTTTCGACCCATGTTTATATAGACTTTATGCATTAATTTTAAAAGTTCTATCGAATCTTAAAGTTATGCAACAATAAACTGAAACACCCTGTATAAATAGATTGCTCTTGGATCAAGTGAATGATTTTTTTAACCAATATTCCTTAGAGCTGAGCATTTTAAATGTTTTTGAAAATAAAGTGGCTTTGTAAAACATTACAAACAAAAGAATATCTAAAATAAATAAAATAAAATGTGGATTAGCTGCTGGGCTACTTTTAAGATCTGTAAACGTAATTGTATTATATTCAAACCCTACCTCTTCTTTGTGCGATTCTTGCAGATAATGAAGGCACTGTGTAGATCTGTCGTCGTGGCTGTTGGCGGCGGTGGTGGCTGTGCGCGCTGCGGCGACCTGCAGTGCGGACGCCGCGTTGGCGCAAGGGGGCGGGCAGCCGAAACCGGTACCGGTACCGCCTTCTTCGCTTCTGGCCCCGCCTCCTTGGCTTCTGGCCCCGCCCCCGTCGAACGGGCACTGCAGAGAGGCTGCCACGGCCTCTTGGACGTCTTGGGCCGGCATCCACGGGTTGATGCCGAAGAAGACGCGACTGATGGCTGCGGTAGAGACTTCGCGACGACGCTTCTTCCCCACCGTCCCACTGGCGCCGCCCGATCCGACACTACTATAGGACAACGCCCACGATTCCTCCTCGGTCCTGCTGTTGCTGCTGCTGCCGAAGGGTTGCTGTTGCTGGGAATGCTGCAAAAACACGACCTCGTCAAAAATAGTTTTGAAGTCAACATGTAGGAGCATCAGTAGTTGCTTAAGTGACTGTCATTCGCGTTATCATGCTCAGAACAACAGAAAAGTAGCTTATTTGCGTATCAACTTGCATCCCAGCGTAGTTCAGTTACTAGTGATACAGATCGTTCCGCTAAGATGAATGCGATTTATGAAGAGCCTTAACTAGAGTAAAGTTTAATTGCTACGCGCAAAGCAAAAGACTGATCAGAAAAGGGCAAAATTGAAGCCAAGTTGATGTTTTTCATCCAAAAATAAGCACACAGTAGCTTGATTAAATATCGCTGTTTTCAATAACACTGTTTTCTAGCTTCCTGTGAGATTAAATTACCTCCTCCCATCCAAGGTTTTTATCTTTAATTGTGACTTTTCCAGGTGTGTGTTCGATTTTTTTGGCCGGAAACAGCCAAAGTTTATGGTATGTCACTAACTATTTAACTAATTTGACTAACAACATAATTGATATGCATAGGCACATATTATACTAAGTGACATATAAATCCGAACACCCAGTTTAAATGGTTTTATTTTAATAAAATTTTGTATAAGTATAATAAGTAAATGATAAAAATTTAAAAATGATTGCACTGCTTTAAAGCCCTATGACCTTTAAGAATGTGTGGGTGCACCCTGATGTGCTACGCATTCTCCAACGCGCCTAGGCATGCTTCTGATCAGGTGGTCAATGTCCTCCTGTGGTATCTCATTCCAGGCAACCACCAACTCCTCTCGAAGTGCTTCTAGAGTCTGAGGAGGACGTTGCAAATTGAGCAAGCTCCTACCCATCATATCCCACACGTGCTCAATTGGGGATAAGTCGGGAGATCTTGGTGGCCATGGTAACAATGTGACATCATTATGTTGAAAGAAGTCTATTGTGCCTCTTGCAACATGTGGTCGGGCATTATTTTGTTGGAAAGTTGGATCTGCCAGGGTGTCAAGATAGGGTAAAAGATGGGGTTCTAGAACTTCGTGGATATAACGCTGCGCGTTCATGTTACCTCTGATGAAGATTAAAGGTGACCTGGAACCATAAGCTATAGCACCCCAAACCATAACTCCAACAGTGTGATGAACATGTCTTTCAACAAAAAACTGTGGATTCCTCCTTTCACCACGTCGCCTTCTAACCCTTACACCGACGTAATCGCCTTGAGTGGTGCAGACAAGGGTCACTCTGGGATCAGGAATGGAACAGTATTATCTTCAGTGACGAGTCTCGATTTTGATTAGGCATGCACGATGGTCGTGCCAGGGTTAGAAGGAGACGTGGTGAAATGAGGAATTCACGAGCCTAGGCGCGTTGGAGAATGCGTAGCACATCAGGCTGCATCCACATATTATTAAAGGTCAAAGGGCTTTAAAGCAGTGCAATCATTTTTAAATGTTTATCATTTACTTATTATGCTTCATTAAGTACGTATACAAAATTTTATTAAAATAAAACCATTTAAACTGGGTGTTCGGATTTATATGTCACTTAGTATATATAGTAAATATCTGTTTGCTATAAGGATATGTAGTCTTCGGTAGGTTTTCTGTGAAAGAGGTTTAACACGCTCTATAAACCTTAATTTTGTATAAAAAACAACACTAAGAACTTTTGCAGATCCAGAAAATTGCAAAATTTGGTTATTTATCTAAATGTTCAGGCTGTGTTATATTGTCTTTTTTCCTTCAGGCGCAAAATAGCAACATCTCAGATTTTTTATCTAAAGAGTATTTATTTAATTTACTATCACCGTGTTGTAAAATTTTGGTAGTATTATTGACATTATCTGGGTTAAAATAATGCAACTGTGTATCATCTGCAAAAGACTGGACATGAGAGTTATATATATATATACCTTTGCGTAAGTCGAAAGTATATATGAGGAATAGCAGAGGCCCCAATACAGAGCCCTGAGGCACGCCTGAGGGAATTATTGTCACTGGGGACATTTATTGCTAGACAAAAACACGTCCTTTGATGAAGGTATCTGTCAAAAAATGACTGGATGAATTGTCAAGTCCTACGTAATTTAACTTAGCAAGCAATAATTTAAGATTGGTGCTGTCAAAGGCTTTCGAATAGTTTATAGAGATTAACGCTAGTGCTATTTTCTTAGGTAAGGCACTTAAAATATTGTCTTGCAGATTGAGTAGAGCAGATGTTGTGCTATATTTTTATCTAAAACCGGATTGAGTATCGGAAAGTATAAAGTATTTTTCTAGGTAAAAGGTTGATTGACACTCCATTTTTTCAAAAAAAACTAATAGGTCTGAGATCACTATACTCAATGGGCTAAATTTTTTAAGAATTGGAATAATTAAAGCTTGTTTGCATGTATTTGACATTTTTTAACTGCGTCTACCCTGCATCTAGAAAGAAACCGAAAATCAAGGTCACAACACTGATCGTTTATAGGCTTTCCATTATTTGGGCGCACTAATTCGCTGCCATCTTAATAGGTTTTTGTGTCTTTGACATAGTAGTTGTTTAAATCAAAATTTTACTAGTAAGGCACTGAACATATATGTTAAAAATTATTAAAATCGGATCAACATACGTACGTGTTTACCTTTTTTTGTCACTTAGCATAGTTAATTCATTGATATGTTACCTTTGGAGCTAGACATGACTATTAAAACTTGGATAACTGTAATGTACTTTGGTTTTCAAACAGATGGAACTAGCGCCACATATGCTAAACTATCCAGGAACTGCAGGTATACATTTGACAGGTTGTAACCTGTAAGGAGGAGAGAAAGAAACAAGAATCATACGAAACGAGCACTGCATCCAATCTCGAAACACCTTGACAGCACCTACTTTTATGAATAAAACATCGCTGTCAACGTACGTATTGAATATTTCAGCTGAACATAAAAGATTTTCGGGAAGCCGTACGATCTCGGTTTCAGTCCAAATCACGACAAACTGCAAATAAAGGATCAGCCGTTGAACAATAAAACTATAAAGGAGTAGAAGGGATTACAGTGCGCGTTGTTCGATAGTATAGTCATTTTGAGATTGCACAGTCGAAATATGGCAATTTTGTATGAATTTACGGGTAAAAACCAAACTTGTCTCTGTAGATGTCAGTGCCATCGTATGATAATATCATCCTTTATACGATTTAATTCTAAGAGCTGCTGTGAAATTGTAATATCACCAGAACTTGGTAGACTGGGGTATGATGCTGACGCCTAATATGTCTACCGAAAAACTCAAAAATGTAGTGAAGCCCTATTTGAAGTAGAAGAATGAAGCTTGTGTCAATGTCAGTAACAACCAGCATCAAAATCATGATCTACGCATTCAATCATCATAGACTTCTCAGTACATTGTACTTTACTGAAATATTTACAAATGCGACATGTGGTTGGTCGAGACGATGGCAACCCTTTATGCGTCAAACTATGTATGCATCTGACTACATCGTCGGCGTTCTTGATATCAAGTTATAGTGGCTGGCACTTATAGCATGGTTGCCAGACGGTTGATACATAGAACGAAGAAACTAGCGCCGACATTATTAATATATACAGGGTGTAAACGTTATGGCAGTCATTATTGAAATGGGTAATAGGGAGGTCAAAACAAGTCAAACAGTTCATACGACCCATGGTCCATTAGTCAATAGATTTTTGTCTAAATGGCTTTATAGTTTACAACTTTAGGTGCATTATATCGGCCACAATCACCACAATCTTAATAATTTTTATAATCTCATCTAAAACATTTTCAAATTGGGTAATTAACAAATAAATGGCTTTAAGTTTTTCTAAGTTAAGCCAAAATTTGTAGTCAGTAAGTAAGTTTCATTAAATTAAATATTTAAAACACACATGACAACAGCGCGTCGGTCTTTCATCACTCTTATCGAACCGGCAATAGATCGCAAACGGTAACAGTGGTTAGTTATCGTTTTGCATAGATAAATTACTTTATCGTTTTGTCGAACAGAGCATCGGGCGTGTTGTTTTGTTTTTGTTCGCGTACGTCGTCGTGTTTATTTACAATGTTCTCGAATCAAGAGTTCACCAACATGTTGTTAGTTTACGGTGAAGCTTGTCAGAATTGAAATCTTGCAGCTCAAATTTATCGCGACAGATTTCGCCAACGGGTACAGACAGAAGGACGTTTGTGCAAGTGTACCAAAGACTTCGATATACAGGAAGTGTTCAACGCACTAATATTCGCACTCGTGAAAGACAGGTTACTGTAGAGCAGGAGGAACAAATTTTAAATATCGTGGAAATCAATGCAGATATCAGCACTCGGGAATTAGGCCGCCGTGTAGGACTATCGCATATCATAGTCTATAGAATCCTACGGGAAAATTTGCTTTATCCCTACTATGTACAACGAGTGCAGGCCTTGTTACCAGAAGACTATTCTCGCAGACTAATATTCTGTCAGTGGTTTTTGCACAAAACCATTGAAGATTCGGATTTTTTTAAAAACATCCTAGCGACGGGATATTAAATTTCCATAATACTCACACGTGGTCCCAAGAAAATCCCCATACCATTCGTGAAGGACATTTCTAACAACGTTTTAAAATAAATATTTGGGCGGGTATTCTTGACGATCAGGTAATTGGCCTTTCCGAGTTACCCCCAAAGTTGTCAGGAGAGGGATACCCTTTTTTTTGGTTTTTTTTTATACTGAAACTATACCTTACATACCAGCATACCTTAGCTTTCTAGCCAATAACCTACCAGAACTTTTGGAGCAACCTTAGACAACATGCCATTACAACGGAGACAGAATTTGTAGTTTCTTCATGACGGGGCACCACCACACATTTTTAGAGGCGTCATTCAGTATTTGAATGAACATTATTCAAATCGCTGGATCGGTCGAGATGCTCCTGATCCTCGAAAATGGCCAGCAAGGTCTCCTGACCTCAATCCGATGGATTTCTGGTATTGGGGATAACTGAAAGGGATGGTTTATTGGGCTGGTCCAA